ATAAACGAGGATAATATCACTTTGATATGTGAGGTACATGGAAGGAAGAGATGCTTCATTTTACCTCATTGTGAACGTTAGTGTCACGTAGTAATACTTTACGAACTTGTTAAAAACAAGGTTTAAAAACTTTCATCAGATCGAGTTCATAACATGTCGCTTTATTTCTTATATCCTAGCTTGGATGCGTATCTCAGGAGAACAGAAAAGACAATATTGAAGAGGGTTGGTGCTAATACCGGTGTACACGTCTTTAAAGATAACTGAACCTTAAGCAGGCTATGGCCAGATGGGTGGGGCAATGCATATTCAGATCACGTGGTTATCCATACAAACGGTTAATACTAACATAATTACATGTGTTTGGAAAGGGCAAATCACTAGTTTGTAAACCTATAGTAAAGATACCCACTTGACTTGAACACTTTTGAAATACCAATTGAAGAACCTACGATATCTAGCTGTTGTTCACCTACAAGAATAATGCTGCAATGCTTTTGTCGCTCAAATATGGAAAATAATTACTTGAATTATCCATAATATATGGGAAGGTTTAGCTGTGCAAATAAGTTTTGTGCTTGAATCATCCAAAATCTAACCGTTTTGATGAAGGTTGTTATTTAAGCATAACTCTTTCCATTACATATAATATTTTATTACTTACCGTATTAAAGAGAGGATTTTTTATGCTTCTCTTATTCACCTCCTGTGAGGTTTCTATATTCTGCTAGACTAAATGGGACTAGCCCAAATAGATGCTTATCACACCAATTGGATATCCATATATGGAAAACTGTTTTGGTTCTTCGTGGAAAAACACACTATTATTAAATCAAGCAAGTGTCATTGAGCATTAATATCTATCTGTTCTTGAAAAGAAGATAAGTGAGTCCCGTGATCCCTTTGTTAATGCATATGTCAGCATGCTGATATGGCGACATGCCGATTACACATGATAAAAACTGTATGTATATATACCCTGTGTCATCAAATGAAGAGTTTTTCAGTATACATGTATATCACGGGTATATTAACCAACGCTTAATCTATGAAATTATTCTTAACTTCATGACAAGAGTCAAACACGTCACTTAAGTTAATGAAAAAAGTATCCTCTTGGAAAAACCTGACTATTATCAAGACAAGCAATTATCAGTGCATATTTATCTGTATCGCTACAAATCTATAAAAAAATCTGAGAAACTGTACATTTTGCTCTTTTGCGTATTTTAATCATTTTAGTTTTTTGGAAAAAAAACAAGCTTTTCTTAGAAAAAACAGGCTTTTTTCAAGACAAACAATCATCAATGCATATTTATATGTTTCAGTGTACATTTATCAGTATCAGTATAATGACCTGAAAAGAAGTTAAGTGAATCCCGTGATGTCTTTGTTCGTGCACATGACGGCATGCCGATTATACGTGATAATAACTGCACATATGTATATACTGTATCATCAAGTTTTTTCCAGTATATATGATGGGTATATTAACCAACGCTGAAAATGTTATTTACTTAAATAATATGAGATCACCATCTTCTTTCAAATTGTTGGGATCAGGTGCAAAAAACACCAAGTACATGTATAAGCGCCTGTAGTAAATTCCTCAGAGAATTTCATCCCACACCGCGACTTGAAAAACGGTTATGGGTCATTGCTAAGCCATCTGTATCATCGGTTTTGTGACAAGTACAAATGTATCACAATAAAAATTAACTATAACTTCCAAAATATTCCATAGTTATACTCCCCCCCCCACACCCGGAGACCCTAGTGCTGCTGTGTCTTAAAATAAAACATACATGTGGGTGAATTATTTTGTTTCCAGTATTTCCTGCTAGACCATTATAGTGGGCAACTTAAAGCTATGGGAATTGATAAACGTATCGTCAGGGATATGTACGTGGCTAGGGTTGGGGCCATCATTGTGGTTGGTGATTTTTCTTTTTCACTTGATTTTATAATTTCCATTGTCGTTCACTAACCTTATGTGCAACAGTAATTTTAAAATATGCGTGTTTTATATCATTAAACAAAAACACTGCACTTGGTAACAATAGGAATACTGAGTGCATGGGGGATGATTTTTCTATTGGACGCTATGACCTACATTAAAAAAAGAGGTCTGTTATTTGGTACTGTAAACTGCCCTTCTCTGCATTACTCATATTTTCAAAATTTCAAATTTTCATTCATAGTGACAGGTAAATCAGTTGCCAACATTTCATTTTTCTAACTATAGGGGTAGGTAGCAGAAGTAACGATGTTAAAAAAGAATACATTGCCTTAAGGGAAGGACACGTTCTACATGTAAATCACTTTAAGATTCTGAAGGACCCATGCTTATTCACAATGACAGGTTTATTAATCCCGACGCCTCAGCTAGAGAGCAGAAATTGCGCTGTAAGATATAAAGAATTAATCAAGAACTACACTATGGCTAAAAGTNAAAAAATATTCCATATTAAGTGGTAACCCTGTATATATATATAATTGACAACCCCCAGGGGCGGCCACACCTCAAGTAACAAAAACTCCAAAGGACCCATGCATATCCTTAATTATAGGTTAATCAGTCCCCGGCGTTTCAAATGCTCAGCAGATAAAGATGTTACGAAGTTATAATTAGAATCAGTCATCCCCAGGGAAGGCCACACCTCATGAACATCCCAAATGACAGTGTCATCAATCTCCAACGTGTCATGTTCCTTACTTTAATGGTCTATGGGAAGGTAAAAGAAATTACCACTTTTAAAAAGTAAAGAAATCACTAAACACTTTGAGAGAAATGAACGACTGGGTTGTTATCGGTGTTTGCGAACTTACGTTACAAATGCATTCAGACCACCCCCTGTGCTTGTAAATTGGTGTCTTTTATCTTTTAGTGTTACGCATTGTAGTTACAACACTGTTATAATTTTCTTTTTTTTTCCTAATTACTTTCCATGACTGTTTGGTTCCAGTTTCGCCTTTTTTTCAGTTCTATCTTTTCTTCAATAGTAAATTCTTAACTACAGGTCCAAGTATGACGCACATAACAAAAGATACCTTTGTCAACAATGTACATAAGTAATGTATTTATCAGGCACATGAGTACTTATACATAACTTGAGTATTAATTATTAAAAGCTGAAAAGGCCACGAGAGACGTTAGAAGGCGACGCGACACCACCCTCTTCAAGGCCGCAACCGTATGTAAAGAAAACACGAAAATCTTATGATAGGCGTTTTTACATCCATTAAGAGGACTGTTTCACTCTCATGTATATGCACTTTTTAGTGACTTCTATCGTTTTCATATTCTTTCTTCGCTTAGTAAGCGAAACCGCACTACGAAGTGTGAACTAGGCACTTCATACAGCGTAGTTCCTACCCGTGCTTCGTCGTTTACGGAATCACCGAACATGATAACGATTTCAAGAGCCCATACAAGTATTAGACAACAGTACTTCAACTGTGATTACGTGTTTGTTTTGATATTAACCTTTTGAAATTTCGATATTTAGCATAATTCACGCTTAAGGTATAAGTCACGCTCAACATAAGTCACGCTTTTTTTCCTTTCTACTGTATGTACGCTATTGACAACCGAGTTCAGTGTTGACAAGTTTTATGTTTAGCATGGCTTTGCAATCTACACCGTTTACATGAACCAAAACTGCTATCGGCGATGTTTAATGTGGTCACCTAATAAGTAGCTATCTACTGTAACATCGGAAATGTGCCAGGAATTGTCCTACTGCTCTATTCAATAGACAGGGGGCGTCACACCGGAATTGCACACAATAATAATAATAATAATAATAATAATAATAATAATAATAATTGGGATGATGAATAACATCTGCAGTAACACCCAGGGCAACAACCCTGGGGTGTAGGAGTTTTACAAAAAA